CAGAGGGCAGAAGTTCACATGGATCAAGACGAAGTCATCAAGACAACATCGTGGGTAAGTGCTATGCGAGCGTCACGGCTGGACGGTCAAGAAACCCATGAGCTCAGACAGCACACGCTGCTGTCAGCGAACACCCAGCAACGCAAACGCCAACATTCCGACATGTTACACGGACACACGCGCGCGCTCACATGGGACACCGAAGTGAAGACGCATTGAGCATCAGTAGCAATCGCACTCGCACAGCACACATACACACACCGATTGTTGCCGACTTAGATGTGCGACCACGTGCCCTGCAATGCGTACGCGTAGATAACACTTGATCACCTCACACCTACGCTAGCTGTCCGAAACTGCTGCCAATGAGCGCACACAACCTGATCTGCAAGTGGCGCAGGACCTTCTTCGTAGTCGCTCCTCGCTGGCTACATGGCGAGCGACAGACCACATTCGACCAACACATCGAGCATTATGTTTCAACATGTTCACGAATCCGGTCACTGCCCAAAACGCGAGTCCCTCCCCCCCAAAACAAAAACACATGCATGTCGCTACATAGAAATATGTAGACACATTGATACATGCAGATATACATGTATTAGGCAGTACCAATACTAATATGATTGTAATTCGTCGTGGTCGTCGTCGTCGTTATCGTCGTCGCGACCGAACTATTTTCCCTGTAGTGCTGGGCGGGCTGGATAATGTTGGGGTTCTTTCTCCCAGGGAATAGTCCATTGTGGGCTGCCCGACAGGCGAGAGGATTTGTGAGCATCTCCTCATGAGGATTGCAATAAGAGTCAGTGTTTCTGGTTGTACTCAACATTGAAGTCGTGGTTATAGTCGTGATTGTAATCGCGATTGTAGTCGCGACTGTAGTCGTAATCGTTGCCGTGGTCGTAGTCGTAGTCGCAATCGATCTCTTAGTCGTAGTCGTAAAGCATCGTCGTCGTCGCGGCGGAGATTAGTTTCCCTCTATTGTCGGGCGGCCTGGATAATGCTGGGGAATTCTTTCTCTCATGGGAAACTATCCCCAGAGCTGCCCTGCGCGACAGAGGAAGTTTGAGCACGTGCGTAAGAAGGATTGCAAGTTAGATCGACACATTATTCGCCGAAGTTGTTGCTCACAGTCTTTCTGAGGATGAAGCTTCTGAGGATGGAGTTTCTGAGGGCCCTCGTGGAGTCTGAGCTTCAAAACTCCTGAGGATGGAACTGATTTTTCCCCCGCTATTGGTGGGATTCCAGTCCTTCGATAAGGCCGCCGAGAATTAGTTGGGTATCTCCCCAACTGTGGGGTGTATCTATGTGTGTATATATATATATATGTGTATGTGCAGAACCATGCGCGCGCTTCGCGCGCGCTTAGGTCCTTGATGCGCCCAAGGAACGCAAGGGCAATTCTGGAGCTCCTTCGGGGGTGATGGAGGGACTTGAGCCAATTAAGCTATCTTAAGCTTTGGGATCCCAGCGACGAGTCGGGGAGTCCTGACGCTTCTTCTACGGCTCTTGCGCTTGTCCGAGTCCACCCGAGGACCGGAGGAGGAGGAGCTGAACGAAGAAGAGCGGTGCCCTTGTCTGGCTCCGAAATGCACGCCACCAAGGCCAAACCACAGAATATAGAAGGCCGCCCCCTCCCCTCCCCCCATCCACGCATCTAGGGCCAAAGCACGGTACGGCGAAGGCAGAAAAACAGAACTTGGCCGCACCGGCAGGGCCTCAAATTTGATGATTTCGGCTTCTGGGGGGAATTGAAAAACTTCCGCGCCACCTCCAGCCGTCTTTGGGCCATCTTGAGAGCCTCCTGGATGCCTGCTGGAGATGCGGTACTGGAAGCCTTTTAGGGCCGTGGAGCCGTCTTGAGAACATCCTGGGCCATCTTGAAGTCTCTGGGGGCCGTTTTGAAGGCCTCATTGGCTGTCTTGGGGGCGTCTTAAGGCCGTACTGGGGCCGTTTGGGGCCCATCTTGGGCCGTCTTGAACCCTCTTGGATCTTTTGGGCCGTCCTGCCACTTGTCCCTTTCATCAGCTATTGGTGGGCAGGTTTGACCTTTCCTTGTGGCGCGGTCTAACGGTACGACTTGTCGTACCCCGTCTGCTGCCCTCGGGCTGACTGCCGATGACTTTTCACCTCGAGAAGGTATCGGAGATGATGGCCTCAAGGCTCGCTTCCAGCGTACCTGAGGACTCCATCTGATGCAGTGTTACGGCACTGCTTCGGCTGATAATATACCTTCGAGGTGAGCTCAGCCCTTGGGCCGAACTCCTCTTGATTGATTTTCGGCCCTGGCTCGCCTATGAATGCGGCCAGGTTTTGTTCAAGATGACACGAGTTGAGTCCCGCGGAGAGCAGTTGAAACCGTTTGCAGTCGACCCGAGGAAGAAACGACGAGGGGAGCACGCGCCGCGCGATCCTCTCCTGCGCGCCCTGCGAGCCTCATATGCTTCATGCGTCGGGCGCTCTCTCTCTGCCTCACCCTCACGCGTGAACATCGGCAGGAGACGAGGAGGAGGAGCGGCGCAGAGGGGGAAGTCTCCGACGGACCCCTGGACCGACCCAAAATCCCCGGCGGGACTTCCGCCAAAAGTGAACATGCACCAGGTGAGGAAGGTAAGCCACATAGTGCGGTGACACAGTCGAGGATGCCAATGCAAGACGATCGGCACGCGACGCAGCGCATAGAATATAGGGTGGAAGCAGAGTTCGGACAATCCCCCGTGAAGGACACCAGTATCATCGCCACCATTGGCGAACATTGGCGAGGAGCCCACCGTCGAGCGTTCGAGTCTCAATTTCGAACCAATCTCGGACTTCGCAGAGGAGTTGGCGAGCAGCCAACAACGCGTTGATTCCGCCATGCGCTTGATACAATGGCGAAGATGAGGAAGGCAGCGGCACCAATGAGGACGGCACCGAATCTGACGGCTGCGGAGATAAGCACACAGACATCCACGGCACGCCGAAGAGAGGATGGAGAAACGCACGAACGATCCTGATCACGATGAGTGGCAAGAGACGTCAGATCGGTTCCAGAAATAGATTTCGCTTACTCGGACGAGAAGTACGGCGGCCCAAACGTGTCGAACAGGCTCGACAGCTTACACTGGCCATCGTTGAGGATTACATCAACATGTGAGAGGGTTTTCCCCCCAGCAGCTCCCTCGCGGCGTCGTGCGCCAGCGTCCGTCCGTCCGCCCGTCCGGGGTCGGGGGAGCTCCACGCGGGCCCCGCGTGATCGCTGCGACGGCCGCCCGCTGTTTTTCGGCCTCGTCGCCCCCCTGGGCCTCGCCGCGGCTGCGGGGGGCCCCGCTCGTGGCCAGTCTCCATACCGCGAGCCGAGCGGCGACTTCGAGGAGGAGGAGGACGAGGAGGAGGACGAGAAGGAGGAGGAGGAGGAGGAGGAGGAGGAGGAGGAGGAGGAGGAGGAGGAGGAGGGGGGCGGAGGAGGAAGGAGGGGGGGCGTGGCCACTTGCTCGGGCAGGACCTGCACCGCCGACCTCGCGCCCTCCCAGCGGACGGCGGCCACGCCGAACGGGCGGAGGCTGGGCCGAGGTGCGGGCGCGGGCGCTCTCCTGCCCCGCCCGCGCCTCGGGAGCTCCGGCCCAAGCGCGGCCCAGCTGCTGCTCGCCCGCTCGCGCTGCCCCCCTCCCAACTGCTCCTCCGTCTGACTCTCCACCTCCTGGACCGTCAGGCCCTGTCGAGCCTGGCGCTCCCCTCACCGGCATACTCAGGCGCGTGTCTCCGAGGACAGCCGATCCGACCCGAACCTCCCCACAATTCTTCTTACCACGCATCCTCCCTCGCCCTCCTCCTCCTCCTCCTCCTCCTCCTCCTCCTCCTCCTCCTCCTCCTCCTCCTCCTCCTCCTCCTCCTCTGCGAGGTGGGCCAGGAGGACCCCAGCGAGTTCCATGCAGGGCCTCTGCAACCAAGAGCCGAGGCAGGCTGGAAGTCGGCCTCCCCCTATCCGCCTCCACATACGATTCACCTCGTCCTCCTCATCCGTTTCCCCGCCTTCCCTCTCATGCCGTGACAGAAAAGTGAATGGGCCCAGAGACACACAAACAAATACTCACAAATCACGGGATTCCCCATATGTTCCCATATTTTCTGGGTTTTCGTCTTCCCCCCACACTTCCCATATTTTCCCATATTTCCTGGGGAATCGACGACTAATTGTGTCTATGCGTTTTTCCCCCTCCTGAAAAAAGGACACGAGCAGCAAGACCACACGGAACCGCGAGAGCACCCGTGCACGGCACGGACACAGGCAGGCGTGCACGGCTAGCCGCCAGAAGGGCCAGTCCTCTCGCAGCCTCTTGTTCTCCGCTTCTGCCTTGCCGTCCAGGTGCTCGTTGTACCTTCGTGGGGAGACAGAGAGCATCATGGATACTGTACCGGTGGTACGCTTGAAGACCGTCAAGAGCTGATTGCGGATGCACAATACATGGAAGATGACGATGCCTGCATTCCCTTCCTCTTCCTGCCAACACGACACGCTCCCTTGCACTTGCTGCGGGCGTGGAGCCAAGAGAAGTCTACGGCACGGCGCGCCAACACAGCAACGGAACCACCACCAGGGCGACACAGAATCCGCCGGCCACCCTCCGTGGCGGCATCGGAGAAGAGTGCAGCACGGTGCCGAGCAGAGGAGAGCGACGGCGGGGAGGGACGGGAGAAGGCAATCACACGTGTACCCGACCCCTGCAGCTCAGAATTCGAATGACGACTTCAGCCGAGTGAGCCCCAGCGAGGGTGTCCGCTACCCCAGCGTCGAATTGGGCCTGCAGGTGCAGGATTCGAAAGCGGTCGCAGAGAGAGAGAGAGAGAGAGAAAACACGGAGAGGAGGCCCGTCCTCCGCACGAGCTCCGCGCCGTGGGCTGCTCGCTGCAGGTCCTCCCGATGGGGATCGAGAGGCCGCCATCTGTAACGCTGAGCCTGCATACCGATGGTGAAACCTGATCGACCCACGAAACCGAAAACAGACGGACAGAGCGGTCTGCTGACGGGACACATGGGCCGGGCCCTTTGCGGCACCAGAGAACGGCGCATGGGCAGACCGAACGGAAAATGAAATAGCATGTCGCCCTGAAGCATTGACCGCAAAACATGTCGCCCACGAAACCAGAAAGGAATATAGAACTGTGAGGCCCCGCAACGTGTTCAAGACACCTGATCGGGCGAAGGGCCATTGCAATGCTGAGTGTGTCGATCTTGACGTACCGTGCCAAGGGCTGTGCTGTGCTGCGCGGTGCTGACTCGCGATGTGCCATGCCGCGATTGTGTTCTATAGCGTTGTGGATCGAGTCTTCCTTTGCATCCGAGTCTAGACCGAACTGATCTGGATCTTAAGCTCGAGCTGCCTGAGCACATAGTTGCTGCCCCAGAGCTAGTTGAAGTGGAAAGGTGCGAAACGTTCAATCAACTCGACCTCAAGATCCGACTCAGCTCCGAACAGGAACGACACGACACGTGGCACAGGCTCATGGACGCGTCACAGGATGTTCCAGGGGCGCAATCGGGGATGTGCCAGGGGGCGTGTCAAGGGACGTATCAGGGGAGATGCCCTGGACTTGTCAGGGACCTGCCACGGGACCTGCCAAGGCGCCTGCCATGGGGCGGCCAGAGGACGTCATGCCAAGGGACGTTGCAAGGGGCGCGCTACTGGGCAGGGGAAACGCCTGGGGACGAGCCAGGAAACGCGACAGTTCCAGCCAGGGAACATGCCACGCCGAGTGGCGTGCTGGGGGACGTGCCAGGCACGTCACGCCAGAACGTCGCAAGGGACGCGCCAGGGGACGCGCCAGCGCGCCAGGGGACGCCCCACAGACGGGCAAGCGCTTCGCTCGAGACATCTTCAACAAATCCTCATGTCAGACATCCGCCTGGGCGACCTGGACACGTGAAAGCAACCGTCTCGCTCGAGACATCCCCAACACATCCTCATGTTAGAAAACCGCCTGGGCGACCTGGACACATGAAAACAAGCGCCTCGCTTAAGACCATCTCAACACATCCTCATGGTAGACGTCCGCCTGGGCGACCTGGACACGTGAAAAAAGCGTCTCGCTCGACACATCCTCTACCCATCCTCATGTTAGGCATCCGCCTGTGCAACCTGGTCGCGTGAAAACAAGCGTCTCGCCAAAGGCATCCTCAACAAATCCTCATGCTAGACATTTGCCTGGGCAACCTGGACGCGTGAAACCAAGCGTCTCGGTCGAGACATCCTCAAGACGTGGGCACGTGAAAACAAGGATTTCACTTGAGAAATCCATCGAATTCTAGTGCCCAGGAGAAGAACAATATATAACACAAAACAAGCGTTTCGCTCGAGACATCCTCAACAAATTCTGCCAACAAATTCTGCAAAACAAGCGTTTCGCTCGAGACATCCGCGACAGACGAAAATGTCTACTTCACCATGTGCTTTATCGATCGAACTTTCACAAGCCAGCGTCTCGCTCGGCACATCCCAAAAGAGAATCCCGCCGGTCCTGCCCCAACATGGCACCAGGGACACAAGCTTACCAACTGAAAGAGAACACAGGGGCCTCTGCCCCCTCCGGGAGAACACAGCATCCAGGGTGGAAGGGGGGGGGGGGGAGAAGCTCATAGAGTGGAGGCCGAGCCTGCGCTTGGGTCGGGCCTGTCCCCCTACAGGGGGATTTTCGACGAAAAATAAAAAATACCCAAAAAAATATCAAAAAACTGTCCAAAAATAGTCTGGGGACTATTTTTGGAGCATGTTTTGACCTTTTTGGGGCATTTTTGGTGCATTGTTTATTTTTCGTCGAAAATCCTCCTGTAGGGGGACACGCCCGACATGAGACTGCGTGCAGGAGGCTCTTGCTCCGCCGCGCTCACGCGGCCCGAGCCGGGCCCCGGCGCTGGACCTCCGCCCGGAGGCGCCCGCGGCAACCCCCGCCGCCGCGCGGGCCGTCCTCGGCGGGCCCATCCCGGCCGCTCCGCCCGGGCGGGCCGCGAGCGTTAGATCGGGCCTGTCCCCCTGCAGAGAATCTTCGACGAAAGAAAAGAAACATACCCCAAGAATGACCCAAAAAAAATAGTCCAAAAATGGTCTGGGGAGCATAGTTGCTCGTATGTTTTGCCCTTTTGGGGGGCATTTTCGGGGTAGTTGACATTTTTCGTCGAAAATCCCCCTGTATGGGAGGGGGGGACACGCCCGACACAACGCGAGCGTGGGCGCGCGGGCTCGCGAGGGGCACCGGCGGGGCCCACGGAAGGGCGGGGCGCACCCTGGCCAGGTGCGCGCTCGCGCCGCACCCGCTTCCCAGGGGGCCACCACCTGTTTGTTGTCTGCTCCGGCCCCCAGAGGCCAGGTGCACGCCGGCTCCCCGGCTCTGCTCTCGCCGGCGGAGGGCCTCCTTGTGGCCTCCTGTGGCCTCTCGAGCTGAGTCAGAAGCCAGGGGGGGCTCTGCAACAACGGGCCACCTTTCGTCTGCTCCGGCCCCGGAGGCCAGTGCACGCCGGCTCTCCCTGGCTCTGCTCGCCGGCGAAGGGCCTCCTGTGGCCTCCTGTGGCCTCTCGAGCTGAGTCAGAAGCCAAGGGGGGGCTCTGCAACAACGGGCCACCTTTTGTCTGCTCCGGCCCCGGAGGCCAGTGCACGCCGGCTCCCTGGTTCGGCTCGTCGGCGAGGGGCCTCCTTGTGGCCTCCTGTGGCCTCTCGAGCTGAGTCAGAAGCCAGGGTCGGCTCCACGCAAGAGCGACCCTGGGCAAGGGTGACCTCTGGTGCGCGGCTTCTGGGGGGCCACGGGGGGGCCAAACACGGGCGCGCGAGACGCTACCATCGCCTCGCGGTCGGCGATCGGGGGACCCCCTTGGGCCCGCACCACAGGCCACTCCGGCGAAGGGTCACTCTTACGTGGAAACGACAGGGGGGAAGCTCTGCAGCAGCGGCGAAAACATGAGGAAAATCTGAGGCAAGCTGTGAAACACTTAAGAACACGGAGCCCCTCCCGCAACGAAAAGGGTCCCTTCTTCAGTGACCCGAGGGGGAGGAGGAGGAGGAGGAGGAGGAGGAGGAGGAGGAGGAGGAGGAGGGAAAGGAGGAGGAGGAGGAGGAGGGAGTCAGATAGAGTAGGAGGAGGGAGGAGGTGGAGGCGGAGGGAGGAGGACAGGAGGCAGTAGGAGGAGGAGGAGGAGGAGGTAGAGGAGGAGTATAGGAGGAGGGGGAGGAGGAGCACAGGATGAAGGAGGAGGAGGAGCAGGGAGTAGGAGGAGGAGGAGGAGGGTAAGAAGCCAGGGGGGGGGCTCTGCAGCAACGGCCCGGCTCCCCGGCCCAGGTCCGAGGACGGGCCCGCGGGCGGGGCCCGCCCCTCCCGGGCCGCGGGAGGGGCCCCGGGCCCCGGCGCCTCTGCCGCGCGCTCCTCCGCTCTTGGCGGCGTGAAGGATGCCGACTTCGGGCCTCGAGGGGGCCAGCGGGAGTCGACAGGGGGCGAGGGAGGGGGGGGGGGAGGAAGGAGCGGGAGAGGGACGAGGGGCATGGCGAGGGCAGGGCGAGGCGGAGGCGGAGGCGAAGGGAGGCGACCTGGGGAAAGGGAGGAAACAACAAGAAAAAAAACAGAGAAAAGAACAAAAAAAAGGGGGGGAGGATGGGGAGAGGGCGGGAGGGAAACAAAAGAAGAAAAAGATTGATAAATAAAAAGAGTAAACAAAAAAGAAGAAAGAGAAACGAAAAAAGGAGAAAACAAAAGAAGGGCAAAAAAAAAGAAAACAGAGAAAAGAAAAAAAAAAAAAAAACGAAAAAGTGGAGGCGGAGAGCAGACCGGTTCGGGGAAGGCGAGGGAACCGATAGGGAGGGGAGGATCGGAGGAGAGAGGGAGCCAATGGGGGGGGGGGGGGGATGGGGGGGGGGGGGGGGGGGGGGGGAGGGTGAAGCGGACGAGGGCAGTCCATCCCTAGAACCCTCACGAAGCTCGCGCTGCCAGTCTGCCCAGCCCTCGAGGAGGATGAGGAGGAGGAGGAGGAGGAGGAGGAGGAAGAGGAGGAAGAGGAGGAGGAGGAGGAGGAGGAGGGGGAGGAGGAGGAGGAGGAGGAGGAGGAGGAGGAGGAGGAGGAGGAGGAGTAGGAGCGGGGGGGGTGGCGGTCATGCCATACCGCGAACGGATCTGTCGGCAGACCTCGGCCAGAGGCGTGGAGTCGAGCAGCGCTGGCTGCGCGGGGCCGCGCACTGGAGAAGACGCCGCCGGAGGGCGTGCCAGCGTCGGCCGCTGCTGCCCCCCGGAACGCTGGGGCGTGGCACAGAATTGACTACCTGCCAGACCACCCCAACCCAACCCGAAGACCCGAAATTCGGGTTGGGGGGGGGACGGGTTCCAGATGTGTTCTCTGGACGTTCCACGACCCCCCCCACTGGAAATCGAGGATCAATTGGGGCCTTCGGGTTGGGTTGGGGTGGCTTGGTGGGTGGTGAAGAATGGCCTTGCTGCCCGGGTGGGTGTCGCTGAATGTACAAGTGCGCTCCGGTCCTCCTCCCAGTCACGTTCTGGCACCACCCCCCAACCTGGAGCGAAGACGACAGGACTGGCCAGACATCCAGAAGCAAACACGATGTGCGTCTCCAAGACGGCCTCGATGGACCCCTGGATGCCCGACGAGTGCCCAAGAAGGCCTAAAAGTCCCCCGGAATGCGCCAGAAAGAAGCAAGATGTCTCCCAGTGGCCCTGAAGGAGTCCTTGACAATTCAACAGATTCGAAAACTTCACGCGCTCCCGTGTTTATTGCCTCACACTACCGTTCGCCCTTAAAACCTGCAAGACGCTGAAAAAAAAACCCAAGACACCCACGTAGTCGCCTCCAGTGGCCCCAAGCGGCCCCAAGCTGGCCGCAGGATAGCGCATGCACCACTCAAGGTGGCCCGGAAACTGTACAACACCGCCACGAGATGACTCCAAAAAAGCCCAGCAGTGGCCCAAGGCGGCCCCGAGCCACCCGCTATACAAGCCCAGGACCCCCTTCAGACGACCGGCAACGCCCTCCCAGGATAAACCCCGATCCCCCGGCCGGCCCCCAGAGACCGCCCAGCAGGCTGGTGGGAGGCGACGAAGCCCGATATCACCCGTGACGGCCTTCTGGTCGACTCTCGGGGAATCCACGCACGCTGCTAGAGGAAAAAGAACCATGCACCTACACCGATCTTGGCCAGGTCCGTCCCGAGCCCAAGATCGGTGCACACGCCCCCCTGCCCTGGCCAGGGCAGCACGTGCACCGATCCTGGGGCCAGAGATGGGCCTGGCCAGGGCCGGTGCATGCGCCCAGTCCTCTTCGCCCGACGCTGCCCTGCGCGGGCGCGGCGGTGGCGCTCGCCGCAGGCGCCCGCAGATCGGAGAGCCGAACGGCAGCATGTCGTGCGGCAGCCAGATCCTGCCGGGGTCCGCGGGGTTGTAGGGCGCCTCGGGCCGCGCGCTCCCCGCGTCTGTGTGTGCCCCTCTGGCCCCCGCGGTCCTCCCTTCCCTCCCCACGAACGGGGAAGACAAGGAGGAGGAGAAGGAGGAGGAGGAGGAGGAGGAGGGATGATCGCCCCCCGCCCATCTTTCCCTATGCCTTCCTCCCCTCGCTTCTCCGCCCCTCGCCTCTCCCTCCCCCTCCCTGCACACCCTCCCTTCCATCCCGCCCTGCTTCGCTAAGCGCTTCAACTCCCACCAGACCTTTAGGCTTTAGGAATAGATGGCTTAGCGAGGTCTTTCTTCCAACTTCTTGCTGTTCCCCTTCGGGAAGGGATCCTCCACTACCCCTTCCGGTTTGTCTGGAAGGGGAGATCACGAGAGGGTTGGGCGTCCCAGGTGCTCAAAGATGTGTGCGAGAGGGCCCCAGATAATCCAAGATGGCACCCAAGATGGCAGAACAGTTTAGGATGGCTCCAGATAGCCTCCAACATGCCTCCGCGAGGCGCCAATGCCGCCCCAAATCGGCTCCCAGTGGCCTTGAATCCACCCAAGGACGCCCCCGAAACGCCCAAAACCGGCCAAAACCTGGGGAAATGCAATTGTAGCGTTTTCCCCTGAACTTTGCTGCCGATGGGCGTCCGAGGCCCCAGCAGATCGCTCAAAGAGAGCCCCAGCAGGGGCCAAAGAGGGCTCCAAGACGGCCCCAGAAGCGCCCGAATGCACACCACGAAACCATATGTTGGCACCCGGCTGGGGGCGCAGTAAGCACCGCTCACTTCTTCTATCGCTGGTGATCAAGATGGCCCCACGAAGGCTCCGAGACCGCCTAAGGGGGCCCCAGGATGGCACGAACATCCAATTGCCCTGCTAACCTCAGCACACCATGAAACCCCATCCTTCTCCGCATCCTCCTCCTTCACCTCCACGTCCTCCTCTTCACCCTCGTCCGTCACGATTTCTCGTCAGCATCCTCCCCCTCACCGTTCGCATCGCTCTCCTTGTCTTCAAGATTATCCTCATGATATGCGGTTGCGCACTGTACCAATTACTCCGACGGAAGGACCCCACATGAGAATCTCTTTAGCTTGCATGGGGGTATCCTCCTGCCCCTTCCCTTCTCCCACCTACTCTTGCCTCCTCGTTCTCCTCCTGTCTGCTCCTCCTCCTGCCTCAACCCCTGCCTCTTCCTCCTCTTCTTGCCTCCTCCACCTCCTCCCCCTCCCAATCGTTATGCTTCCTCCCCCCCATTCCCCCTGCCCCTCCTGCCTCCTGCCTCCTCCTCCTGCTCTCCCTCTCCCTTCTCCTCCTCCTCCTCCTCCTCATCATCCCCTGTCCTCCTCCTCTCCCTCTCCCTCTCCCTCATCCGCTTCCTCCTCCTCCTCCTCCTCTCTCTCCTCTCCTCCTGCCTCCTCCTCCTCCTCCTCCTCCTCCTCCTCCTCCTCGTCCTCCTCCTTCCTCCTTCCTCCTCCTCCTCCTCTTTTCCATACTGGCATTGTCTTCCTCCCCCCCCCTCCTCCTCCTCCTCCTCCTCCTCCTCCTCCTCCTCCTCCTCCTCCTGCCTCTCCTTAGGCCTGAACACTCACCATCCTGGTGCCTCCTGGGGCCTCTTGGGGCCTCCTGGAGCCTTCTGGGCCTTCCGGGACCTACTGGGGCCTCCTCGGGCATTCCTCCTCCCCCTTTTCCTCCTCGTCCTTCCTCCCCTCAGCCTCTTCCTCTTCCTGCTTTCCTGTCTCGTCCTGCATCATCCCTCCTCCTTTTCCTGGCAATCCTCCCCCTCCTCGTCCTCGTGCGGAACACGACCCAGAGGAAGCGCACGACGTGCGTCCCAGCCGATACGCGCCGGAGGACGACCCAGAGGAAGCGCGCGCCGGAGGATGACCCGGAGGAACCACGTGAGCTGCGGGACCCGTAGGAAGGCCCCCGCCTGACGCGTCCTCACAATTCACTCACAGACGAGGGTCCCGCTTGATACTTCTTCCAAATTCAAACCTGAGAAGCCCAAAAGTAACGACAGTTACAAGAATCCGATGACCCGCTCGGATTAATAACATGATCTGCGGGCCCTATAGGGAGGGGGCCCCCGCCTGAGACTTGCTCGCAATTCACTGACAAACGAGGCCCCCGCCTGATACTTCCTCCAAATTCACACCTGAGGAGCCCTGAAGTGACGACGGTTACAAGAATCCGATGACCCGCTTGGATTAATAACATGATCGGCGGGCCCCATAGAGAGGGGGCCCCCGCCTGAGACTTGCTCGCAATTCACTGACAAACGAGGCTCCCGCCTGATACTTCCTCGAATTCCCTGCGAGACGCCATGGAAAAGTGACGACAGTTACAGGAATCCGATGACCCGCTCGGATTAGTAACATGATCTGCGGGCCCCATAGGGAGGGGGCTCCCGCCTGAGACTTCCTCACAATTCACTCACAGACGAGGCTCCCGATTGATACTTCCTCCAATTCGACCTGAGGACCCGAAAATGACGACATTTACGAGGACGACGTGTGACCCGCTCGGAGTTATAACATGATCTGCGTCTGGCCCCAATAGTTAGGGGGCTCCCGCTGAGACTTCCTTCACCATTCACTCACAGACGAGGCTCCCGATTGATACTTCCCCAACATTTCGACCTGAGGAGGCCCAAAAATGCCGACAGTTTACAAAATCCATGACCCGCTCGGATTACCAACATGATCTGCGGGCCCCATAGGGAGGGGGCTCCCGCCTGAGACTTCCTCGCAGTTCACTCACAGACGAGGGTCCCGCCTGAGACTTCCTCCATATTCAGGCTTGAGGAGCCCAAAAGTGACGACAGTTACAGGGTTCCGATGACCCGCTCGGATTACCAACATGATCTGCGGGCCCATAGGGAGGGAGCTCCCGCCTGAGACTTCCTCCCAATTCACTCACAGACGAGGCTCCCGCCTGAGACTTCCTCCATTTTCAGGCCTGGGGAGCCCAAAAGTGACGACAGTTACAGGGTTCCGATGACCCGCTCGGATTACCAACATGATCTGCGGGCCCCATAGGGAGGGGGCTCCCGCCTGAGACTTCCTCACAATTCACTCACATACGAGGCTCCCGCCTGAGACTTCCTCCAAATTCAGACCTGAGTAGCCCAAAAGTGACGACAATTTAGGAATCCGATGACCCTCTCGAGATTAGTAACATGATCTGGCGGGCCCCATAGGGAGGGGGCTCCCGCCTGAGATTCCCTCACAATTCACTCACAGACGAGGTTCCCTCTTGGTGGATGATGGTGATGGGATGATGACGACGGTGTTTGATGATGATATATGATTGTTGATGAAGATGATGATGATGATGGTGATGATGATGATGATGATGATGATGATGAATGTGGTGGTGGTGATGATGACGACGTGATGATGATGATGGTGGTGATGATGAGTGCTGATGGTGAGTGATCCGTGCGATTCTGATGGTAAATGGTGATGATGATGATGGGGACGAAGTGGTGAGTCAGCGAGTAGTGATGATGATGATGATGATGATGAAGATGATGATGATGATGATCGTTCGATGCCGATGATGGTGAGTGATCGTGCGATGGTGATGGTGATGGTAATGGTGATGATGATGATGTGGGAGATGATGATGGTGATGGTGATGATGATGCGGAGGAGGAAGCAAAGAGGAGCAGAGGAGAGGGAGGAGGACAGCGGAGGGTCCTGCGCGGAGGGTGTGCAGAGAAAACAAGAACCCCACTTAGGATGTGGGGAAAAATACATACATACATGCATGCTTGCATGCATGCATACGTTACATTACACACTACACGACACGACACGACACGACACGACACGACACGACCGACACGACACTACATATACATTACATTACATTACATTACATTATTACACATTACATTACATTACATTACATTACATTACATTACATTACATTACATTACATTATTACATTACATTACATTACATTACATTACATTACATTACATTACATTACATTACATTACATTACATTACATTACATTACATTACATTACAATACATTACAATACATTATATCACATTACATTACATTACATTACATTACAATACATTACATTACATTACATTACACTACACTACACTACATTACATTACATTACATTACATTACATTCATTACATTACATTACATTACATTACATTACATTACATTACATTACATTACATTACATTACATTACATTACATACATACATGCATGAGTGCATGCATATTTACATGCATTACATACATACATACATACATACATACATACATACATGTTTACATACATACATATAGACATACATACATACATACGTACCTATCTACCTACTTACATACATACATCCATACATGCATGCATGCATGCACACATACATATTGAGAAACAAACATACATATATGCATAGATACATAGATACATACATACATCCATACATACATACCGACAGACATACATACGTACGTGCGTACATACGTACATGCATAAACATATATATATATATATATATATATGTATACACATATATATAGAGAGAGACCAGATGTTACCGGCTCGTTTCGCTTAGCCTTTTAACATCTTGGTGGCATGGCGCCAGAAAGGCGCGTTGCGATCCTTGGCCCGCGTGGCGGACTGCGGAAGATCATATGGATCGCCCGACACAGCGTACAACGCCTGCTTTGGGACGCGTGGAGTGCGCAATGTGGATGGTATTATGCGGACTGGGCCACAGCAGTTGCGTCTCATGAAAGGAGTGCAAAGATACACCGCGTGTCCACGCGCACGTGCGTTTGGACATGCACATTGCAATGCGCAGCTGCCGCCGCATAGAGCGCACCACGTAGAGTTCCCAAAGCAGTGTGCACCACGTAGCTTCCACCTCGGTGTGAGACCGCACAGGTTGCACCGCGGAACGAAGATGACGTAGAACGCCTGGCAAAGAATGCGCCACGTGGATTTCAGTACATGGCGTGCGTTTCGTAACGTGCAC